CCGATATTGAACGGGTTCCTGGCTGTGGGTCCTCACCCGCGCGCTTAAAAGGGACTTATTAATACTCCACTACAGGTACACACAAAAGGTTAATAAAAGGTTTATTTACAAGGGAAAAGGAAATAAGGAAAATGTACAACTCAGGGAGAAAATAGGGAAATAAAGTCTTTAATGCGTCCTACCCGATCAGCCAACCTGGAAACCCAAAGTCACTCTCAGAGCTGGCCGGACGCTGCTAGCTGGTGGAGAGCCAAAATGGGGGTGACCCCAAAGCCCACGTGTCTGGCTTTATATCAACCTGGCTGCTTAACCCCACCCTCAGGTCCCAGCCACCTTCCCTTGGGTGGTGATGGGATTTGGAGTTCCCAGTGTCTTTGGCTTTGGCCTGGGGTGGGGGTGGAGTCCACAAAGCCTGTATGGAATTAGCTTTAGGACATCCTGTTCCCCCTAACAAACCCAACAGTAGAAAATAGTTTTTACAGATTTACTTGTCCATCAAAGCAATTCCTAGACAGGCCAGGCTGGTTTTATAAGAGGGGTGAGCAGCAGGAGTTCAACCTGGGAACACCGCTCCCCCTATCCTTTGAATTCTGCCTCTCCCTCTGAGTAGCCAGATGACCCTGGATAGCCTCTCTGATTTCTGTTTGAGCATCTATAAGAAGAGGGCAATAAAGTTTGGCCTTCTGTACTATTGCCAGAATTAGGAATTATATATTTAAAGCACCGGGCACATTATAGATATTTAGTACTGGTGGCATATATTATTAGCTACTTTCACAATTGGGCTGTGTTTCAAAAGTTTGTTTGCAAGCTCAGTTGCGAGGATGGAAACTGCCTTTTTTTTTTCTTCATGAGACACTCAGAAAATGTTTTAAGTTTTAGTTCAGTTCCTGAACAAGCACAGAGCAGCCTATTTAACCTTTTCTGGAAAGGGAATTTTACCTAATGTGGTAGGTTGAGTTCTAGGACCAGGAAGCATTCTCTTTCAGCAATGATGGCGAGAAGTTGGAAAGAATTAAAACATGTCCTCTCCCTTTGGTCAACTTCATTTTTTTTTTTTTTTAAGTTTAACTCTTTGCCAATGTCGGAGATGACATTATCTCTCAATATTTTAAAATTCAGGAAGGTTATGCTTGTCACTATGTAACAGTCTTTCCAGAACCCATGTCCCACCCTGTACATGATACTTAGTGTCTCGAATCTGCCCTAAATACCTTGCCCCCTGCTCTTCCCTGCCATTGAAGCTGTCCCTGGCCTCAAAGTCATTGCTTTTCTGTTCTCTCCATAACAAATGTCTAATCTTTTGCAGCTATTTATCTCAGGGAGGTTGGGGGGCGGGGGAAGCAACCTTATAGAATTGATTTTTCCTAATTTGTGAATAATCAATAGTGCTTAAGCTTGTACCTCTAAAGGGTGATCTTAAATACTAAACCTTGAAGAAACTCTAGGGGTATTATGTTGGCCCATTAACAGAATAAAGTGGGAAGGAGTCCCCAGGTGGAGAGGAATATGCCACTTTGCTTTCTTTCCTTGTAGTTTCTTCCCAGGTCAGCTTTTCCAAGCCATTCTTGTTTTGCCTATTTCCCCTCTTCTTTTTATGAAACCTCTAATGGGGTAGCTCTTAACCAGATTAAATCTCTGGGGATCTTTGAAACTTCCAAGGCCTGGGGCCACCCCCCAACCCAAGTCTGTCTTAACCTGGTGTGGGGCCCAGGGACCTGTCTTTCCACAAGCTCCCAGGTGATTCCTTTGTGTGGTCAGCATCAAGAGCTCCTGTTGCAATCATTCTCCTGTAAAGAGCTAAGATTTCACCCAGGCTCCCCCTGCAGGCACTAGGGATCCTGTAAGAAAAGATCGAAAGAGATCTAATCAAAAGGAAAACCAGACCCAAAAGAAAAGAAGCGAAATAACCAAGCAAATCATCATCATTTTAAAAACAGAGCATGGATAATGGTTTGGGGGAGTGGGAGCCAGAATCGGGACATGCAAACTAGTGGCCCCACCCCATCTACTCCGAGAGCAGAGGCTCTGTCAGTCAGCTTCCCTATAAAATGATGAGAAGATGCATCTCTAATTAGATGCAAAACTCCCTTGAGCCTCTGTATGTACTTTCTACCTGATACCTGCCTGGATACGGACCCACAGCTGTTTACACCCTATAATTTCAACTAGTTACTGACTCCCTTTAAACCACATTGTGTACAGTTCAAATCTGCAAAATGCACTCTCATGTTTTATACAGATGCATTATACCAGTATGCAAATGTCAGGAAAAAGGGAGCGAGAACCTCCATCTGGCTCTACAGCCCCCAAATGCCCCCAACACAAGTGAAATAATCATCGCCAGGAAGCACCTGAGAGAGGCTCTCCCTCATTAGCAGTGCCCCTGTTTCTAGGACCCAAACCTGGCCTTGAAGACAAAGTAGGGCCGCCAGGCTGAGCAGCCTCTGGGTTATGCTGTCCACACCAGCAGATGTGCAGCAAAGACTGGCCGTGAAGAAGAGGACTGAAAACTCAGGGGAGTCCCTTACCTCTGGACTGCTTCCAGCAGATAGGGCACGCTCCCCTGGTGCAGGGCAAGCTGGGCCCCAGCCTGCTGCCGAGCTTCTCCTTGGGCAAACTTCCCAGCGACTGAAGGGCTCAGGGTCACAAACTCTCCAGTAGCTGCTCTGAGAATCCCTGCAGATCTCTGAGAAGCCCTGATTGTACATGCTTCCTCCCAACGGGTTTCTTATGGACCTCGCCAGGAGTCTCGACCAGGTCTGATCTCTTTTACCTCCAGAAATAGCTCTTAACCCATTCCTAATGCTCCGTTTCACTGCAGCTCCTTTGGCTAGGAACTTCATTCCTTTCTTGCCTGGACCTGGGCAGGCAATTGCCCCACCATCTCTGCTTCCAATCCATGCCAGAGTCTTGGAATAATGCACAGCCCTCCCCCAAGTTGTTCCCTGCTAAAGATGCCTCATGAACTCCTACTAGTCAGTGCTAAGGCAGTGATTTCCATTCCTGGCTGCACATTAGAATCACCCAGGGATCTAAAAAATGCAGGTGCCAAGGGCCCCATCCACAGAGATTCTGGTAAAATTGCTTTGGGTAAAGTGCTCTCTAGAATCACTTCTCAAACAATGATGAAACCCGTTCCTTACTCTGCACAAAAGTCCCAGGGTAACTGGAGCCTCTTGCCACCTGCCTCCCTGTCCTCTCCAGCTGGTTTCTCATTCAGACCTTTGTTTCCTTGTAACAGACTCGCCAGTGCCTCTTGCTCTGAGTGGCAAACTTGCTCATTTTGCAAAACTTCCCTAAGCTGTCCCCACTTCTTCTGTGAAGTCCTTTTGCCATCCTCAGATGGAGCTAGTCATGTCTTCTTTCTTCACAACCCTCATATGTCTGTCCCACTCAGAAATGCAAGTGCCTTTCTTGCTTCTTGTTTCTCTTTATCCCACTGGCCTGAACTTACAGGGAAGCATTTCCTTTGCCTCTTCTATTTTACTATGAACTATCCCAGCTTAGAGACCCTGTGATGTTAATATCCACAGTCCCAAATGCGGGGGACAAATTGTGTTTGTTGTTGTGTCCGTGTTTAGCTGACATTATTGTGTCCCTATGATATGGCATAAACTTTCCTTCCTACACAACCATATTCACTGGTGTGATTTTCACAACAGCCCGTAAGTACAATTATTGTCTCTGACCGCCTGGGTGAAGCAGAGGCAATGAGAAGGAAGGTCCTAGACACTGCAAGGCATGACAGATGACTATTGAGGGAAGAAATGAACATTGTGTGTTCTTGTCCTGCACACACCTTCGTTGCTAAACTGGTTAATACCACGATGTTTCCTTCAGCTGACCTGGGACAGAGCCTTAACAGGGTAAACTTTTTGGAGTAAACAGTTGAAATTCTCAGGACTAATCCCCAACACCATTTCCTCAATAAGATAGGTCCACAGCGTGTGTGCCATAGAGGGAGCTGGGGCGAAAGAACAAGAGAGGGATTCACTTTTTTTTTTTTAAAGATTTATTTATTCATTTTACACAAGAAGCAGGGCACATGCCAGATGCATGGGAGGGTGAGAGGATTCACCAGAGACAGAGTGGGGAACAGAACAGGCAGACTGATGAAATACACTGCTAAGGGAAGCAGCGGGCGAGACAGGAGAGGTCGGCCACGCCATGTGGGACCCTCGCCGGCGGCCGGGGATCGAACCAGAGCTGCAGAGGCTGCAGACAGCTTCACAGCGCAGTGCTCGACCACCTGCGCCACCAGGGGAGGCCAGAGAGGGATTCACTTTTAATAAACCCCCACTATGCCACCAGCTGCCCTAAGATACTGTCTGATTTCCATTCATCCCTTGAACAGTGAAACGGGGTGTCCTGATGTTTACAGATGATCAGACCTGAGCTCAGCAAAGGTGGTAACTCATCCAGTGCTACATGAGAAAATGGAAAAAGCTAAAATTGAACTAGTCTATTACCTCGCCAACAAAAAACTGCCTCAAGCTGGCACCTCATTAGAATTGAGCTCTCTTCATTTATTTTTGTCTTTAAAAAGTTTATTTTTATTTTAAAAAGTATTGGTTGAAAAATGTGAAAATATTAAAATTGCCTGTAATCTCACCACCCAAAGATAGAGCCACTGGCAACATTTTAAGGGGCTTTTTTTTTTTTTTAGACTTTGTATTTATATACCAATAAATCAAATTAATCTGTTACCTACTTTTGGTTGTAATACACTTGCAAACTTGTATTTGGCACTTTTGTTTCAAAACAAAACATATCAAAAATTTTTCAGCATATTTGAATAAGGAAATAGTAGGATGAAGTGGTAAAAGGAGTGAAAAAGACGACTCCTGGGAAGAGCTGGGGGTTGGTACAAGAAGAGGGAAGTTTGGGGACTGGGCTGAGGACGCACATGGCCATGGCAGGCGAGGGAAATGAGCCCACTCTCTCCAAACTTCCCAAATCAATCATCTCTCTGCTTGCTCTTCCTGTTTCTTTTGCAGGCAGCAACTTGAATGATGGCCTGTGGCATTCGGTAAGCATCAATGCCAGAAGGAACCGCATCACTCTCACTCTGGATAATGATGCAGCATCCCCGGCTCAGGACACCAGCCGGGTGCAGATTTATTCTGGAAGTAGCTACTACTTTGGAGGTAATAGCCCCAGCTTTTAAGGTTGCAAATAGAGGGGGAGAGATACAGTGGACAGTTTGTTCCACTCTGATGATTCTTTCTTTGTCAGTTAGACTATTCTCCTAACACACACACACACACGCACACACACGCACACACACGGACACAGGCACCCATCCCACAGCCCAAAATAATGGCAAGCAAACTCTTTCACAGCTGTGCAAATATAAATTATCTAGGTCAATGCTGAGGAAAAAGAACTTGAGCTATAAGAGCTGGTGTTATATAACATATAAAGGAGATTTTTGTAGCCATGCCAAGCTCTCTGATCACATTTGAAAGGAGAAACTCAGCTGAAAACTTGGAGAAAGTGTCCCAACAGTCAGCAGTACTTGCAAGAGAAAGAATCCAACCACCAGCCTGCTCAGGCAGCTCAGCCCCTGCTCTGCTGCCTTGATGTCTGAACCTCTGTTTCCCCCCTTCACATCCCTGGTGGCCACACAGTAAGACCCAGCCATCCAAGAACTTGTAACTCCACATGGAACAATCAGTACAGATCCTGCCCTCCCAACTCTAGGTGAATCACAGGGAATTTTGCAATGACAAAATTACAAGGAAAACTGAAAGGATTAAAAAAAATGTGCTTAGGCAGCTACTGTATTTTTGTAGATGAATAAATATATTATTTAACATTTTCAATGCATTTCCTTCATAAAAGGTATGAGTACCAATATTTATATATAGAGAGAGAGGGAGCGAGAGAGAGAGCGCTCGAGAGAAAGAGCACAGTGCTTCCTGCAGGGCAGGGACCACGGACAAATGGCTTCAACTTTCAGAGTGATGTGGTCATGGACTAGGGTTTCTTTACATTTGCTTATTCTTTTTCTATTAGGAAACTGAAGAGAGTTTTGTGCAAAATTATAAAGGGCAGTCTCTTAAATAGAATTGCAAATCACTTCTCTCCTACCAGTGACAATGTTGGTGGTCAAGCTTTAAAAGACAAAACAGAGTTAGCACAGATGCAGTAAACATACAGGGGGTTCTGGGAGGGAAGCAATGTGGAGTGACAGCTTTAAGAATTATTTTTAGGGCCTCAGGCAGGACCTCTGTCCTTCACTCCAAATCTTTTTCACATGTACAAAGATAACGAATCCCTTTTAAATGAGAACACTTCTATTCAGTGTAAATGCTGTAAGTGTCTTACCTCATTTAATTCATGCAGTAATTTGCAATCAAGTTAATAATAAACACCAGATAATAAAACTGATGTGGCTGAGGTGAGATAATTTGTGTGAACGTAGAATCAGGATTCACCCCCATCTTTGTTCTTCATGAACCCCCAGTGACAGCAAAGGAATGCTGACCAATGTACCATCAAGGACGCAGAAGAAGGGTTTTGGGGGCCCCAAAGATATGCCTCATGGATTATGTAACTTTATATGATATGCAATGTGTCATTGAAAGAGAGAAAAAGGCAATGTTTTTGCTCATTTTGGGGAAAAAACATTGTTGGATAATTATGATACCTAAACATCCTAAATGCCTTACAGCCAAAACGACTCCTGTTCCCAAGTTGAAGGAGTATTCTTGGGGCCACTGGATTTAGATGATGAAGATTTATCTGTGTTTTTTTTTAGCGCATTTAAACAAACACCCCACATGTAGCCTGCAAACTTATGGAAGGTGAAAAATGAGTTTGAGTAATAATAGTCAACTTACATAAATTCTCTCTACAGCTTCAATTAAAAGTTGCAGCATCTCTCTTCATTTTATAGTGTTTCTCTGAGCTGTTAACCAGCTGCTGGGCTTCAGCCCAGCAGTGACTGTCTATTAGAGATGGCTGAAATAATTCCCCATTATTTATGGGTTATTGCCATATTTTCAAGCTTGCATTCCCATATGCTCTGAACCTATTAAAACCATGGGATGGAGTTTATAAAGAGCATGAGCATTCATATACCTTTGTTGCTTTATACCTGTCTTAATGAGAAGTAGATGTGCCCTAGTTGCAAGCTATGGTAAATCAATATGATTTATTATTTTTTTAAAGAACACCCTTTAAAAAGGTATGGTGTTAACCTTCCATGTATGCTATTATAGCCCTATAACTATGTACATTTAAGCATGTAAGTTCCCTTAGTGTCTGGATTTGCTTTGCACATCCTTTCAAAACTCCAGTTACATTCCTGTGTATACCTTTCTCAGCAACTAAGCCTGTTAATGCTAACAATTAACCAGACAATTACTCTGCCACCATCCTTACCAAAGCACAATTTCCTTTGAAAGTGTAATTCAGAATTGAATTGAGCATTTAGAAGTGTGTTTCAAGACAGAACCAAAATTCCCAAGCCGTTGTAATACGCTGCTTCCTTGGGATGAGTGAAATATGCCATGCAAAGGAATGTCAAATAGCTTACCAATAGGAAAGAAAAAAAGAAATCAGAAAGAGATAGATGTTATAGTATCGGTATTCCCTCTGACGCCTTTTGTTTTTTTGTTGTACAATGATTGAGTATGCCCCATTTTGTACAATTCTGTCCCCTCTCTGAGGATGCTAGGATTTACAACAAAAACGCGTGCACTGCTGTGAATGAAAAAGCACCAAAATAATTAGACCTCGAGGTCGTCCATCAATAGGTCGCCAAAGCAATGACTGATCATTTCAGTATTCTTCATTTTTTTTTCTCTGTCCCACAGGGTGCCCCGACAATCTCACCGATTCCCAATGTTTAAATCCCATTAAGGCTTTCCAAGGCTGCATGAGGCTCATCTTTATTGATAACCAGCCCAAGGACCTCATTTCAGTTCAGCAAGGTTCCCTGGGGAATTTTAGTGATTTACACATTGATCTGTGTAGCATCAAAGACAGGTAATTATTGTCTCTTCTCCTCTGTTCCCCCACCCCTTTCCCGTTCTCACTGTTCTAAATATGAGTTTCTTTAAGCAAAATTCTAATCCACTGACATTAGCCACATTAGATATAATTGAATCGCCTAATGGAAAATATTTCTGAAAGGATTTCGGGCCCAGAGAAAAATGGCTTAAATTAGTTGAGTCTCTCTTCATGTTGACTTGCAGTAAATGGGATATGCAAATTAAATCAAAATACAAATTTGTGAAAGGATTAAAATTTTATGCATAAACAACATTTGATTACTCTGAAGTTAAGAGTAAAGGGAAAAGGAGGGAGACATTGCTTCTCTCCTAACCATTTGGTTCTTCACTGTGGTGAGTGTCCTGTCTGACAGGCAGATGAGGGCCAGGCCCTCTGGGGATCCTGCAGCAGAGGCGTGGACAGCACCCAGTAGTCCACAGTAACTTCCGGGGCTGACTTTGCTGCCACTATCCCTAACTCTGCTTCTTTGATGCAGGAGAGATCAGACCGTGGACAGAGAGTATCAGCCTTTACCTCTGCAACTCACAATCTAATTAAAGCTTGATTTCTCTCTGCGTTTCTCCTGGGCTCTGGTGCCTTTTGTATTGGGTCTTTCTAGGTTCAAAGACATGCTGCGGAAAATTAATGAGGCTTTATTCTGAATTTTCAGCAAGTTTTATTATATACGCCATATTTCTTTTCTAGTGTGTATCTCCTTCATTCTACCAATTCTAGTCACCTTGGTCAACTATCAGTTGTGACATGAGTTCTATCTATCTATCTATTATCTATCTATCTATCTATCTATCTATCTATCTATCTATCTATCTATCTATCTATCTATCTATCTATCTATCTATCTATCTATCTATCTATCTCTATCTATCTATCTATCTATATCTATCTATCTATCTATCTATCTATCTCTATCTATCTATCTCAAGTGCTTGTTTATGTGTTCTTGATATGTGGTCTCAATGTCTCAATGCAACTTTCTTCAGGGCATAAATGAGCCTTTCCAATCAAGTGCTGTAAATGATCAAGTGCACTGTTATTGTGAGACACATGGCAACAGCAACTTAGCCTGTCCTTGAGGAAGATGAAATCAAGGAGGTTTTTAAGAAGAGGTACTGAGCTAAATACTAAAAGACAGTGGGCTTCTTGAGGGGTGGGAGGCATCAATAGGATGAGCTGGTAGAATGTAGCATGCAAAATGACACAGAATGAAAGGATCATAGCTTGTGGTATTTTATCAGCTCAAGATGCTCATTTTTCATATTAAAAGCTCAAATATTGTGAAGTTTTTACAATTTTTTTAAAGATTTATTTATTTGTTTATACAAGCACTGGGTACAGTCAGAAGCGTGGGAGGGTGAGGGAATTCACCAGAGCCAGAGCGGGGAGCAGAACAGGCAGACCAATGAATTATATTGCTGAGGGGAGCACCGGGTGGCAGGAGAGGTCTGTGTGCCATGTGGGACCCTCACTTGGTGGCTGGGGATCAAATCAGCGTTGCAAAGGCTGCGGGCAGCTTCATAACCCAGTGCTCAACCACTACACCACCGGGGAGGCCCCAGTTTTTACAGTTTATAGTGAATAATTATCTAATTGGCAACATGTATTCTTAGTAGCATATAAAAGAATGGTTTCTCTTACAATTAGGAGTGTCTTTGATTCAATAAAATGTAGCACAGTAAGGAAAGTAGGTAATTTTGATGAAGTATGAGAATATGTCCAGAGTTCTGGACCAGTATTGATCCTGAAAATCTATGGGCGCAGGATTTGACGTCATGCTTTAGGTGAGAATTACTACAAAATTATTCATATTTGACTGAAAGGAATGCTCTGGAAAAGCTAGAAGGATGGATTAAAAGAGAATCAGGCCAGAGCAGGAGAGGTGACTGTCTCAGTCCAGCAGGTATTGATGAGATGTAGCAAGTGCCTCTGCTGAGCCAAGCAGCACAGAAGTCAGCCCTGCAGATAGATCCTAGTCCCACTAATGCTCACAATGATCGATATAATTTGGTGGAACTTTATGTACATGTTTTTATGTTAATACCACTGCACATGGGATCACCAACAAATCACACAGACTTCCTGGCTCTTCTACTTCATTTTTTTTCTATTTGGCCAGCTGGAAAAGTGGGTAATAAAATGTGCGCTTCATTAGTATGTGCTAGTTTAGAGACTTCACAATAAAAGATACTTACACAGAATGGTGCCTCCCCTCTAGTCTTTATTAATGATGGGGGGAAGCATCAGATTTGGTCAGTCAGCACAGTCTTCTGCAAAGTGTAGGGCAGTGGGGGGAACATTTATCAAAAGGGATCTCTTATGATACCTTAATTTCTAATCAAGGAAGCTTTCATTCTTTTTGATTACATGAGAGTCATTGCCATCTATACTGCATCATTACTTTTGTGTGATTCTAGTCTGGTTAATTGTATTACATACAATTGTGTTTTGGTTAATTGTGAGACAGGGCAAGCCAGGGTTATTAGGCAGTTTTAGGGACAGTGCAGGAGGGGACCTCTGAAGAATTTAGGGAGGCTTCAGAGATAAGGACAACCAAAGAAATATAACCAATTCCATTAGGAAAAACAAACATGCCAGGACCAAGGACAACATTGTTAATGCTGATCCTGGTTTCCTTCAGGTGGTAAAGGGAGGCGGAGATTGGAGAAATGGAGAGTGGTTTAATTTATGGTCACATTAGAAGGGCAGCTGTTTAACTTCAATGCAGGGATGCCCATCCAGAAGACTGGGCCATAAATTTAAAGATGCAACAAATGGGAAAAGAGAAAGCTGTTAGATAAGGAATGTGAAGATCCCCACTCAGTAGCAAATTAAGTGAGACAGCCGAGAACTAACCAATCACAGAGAGACTGGTGAAGTTTTAGAATAATGAGGGAAAAAAGGTATATATTCCCTGAAACACAATTCCACTTTGGCTTCCTTGCCCCTCCCAGGCCTGGTTCCCTGGCCTGGGAGTCCCACTTTATTTCTGCTCTTTTCCTCCTCAATAAACTTTTTCTTTCTATAAACGAACCTGCCTCTTCTCGCGTGCTTGCCTGAGCGTCTGCGAAGTTCCTGCTGCGGCTTCCTGAGACACCAACCCTGGGGGGTCTAGTGGCTGGGGCTCAGCGCTGCCCTGCAGCCTGGGATCCATTCCTGGCTGGGAGACTAGACCTGACAATTCCGGTATCAATTGTATAAGGCATTATGTTTAGTTTGGTGGATGAAACGGTAGGTTTTTCTTGATTTACCAGACAGTGTCTCTAACTGAAGGGAAGACTATTGTAAAGACATGGTTTAATTAATTATTTTCCAAAGTTATTTATTTTTTTTTAACTTATTTTTAACACTTGTTGGAGAGGGGCCGGGGCTAGAAATGGAGGTGATTTTATTTATTTATTTATTTATTTATTTATTTATTTATTTATTATTTATCTATTTATTCATTCATTTATTTTATGAGTTGTGTTTTATTTTTAAAGTGGTAATCAAATTAAACCTGATTGATAGGCAATTGAAAAGTCTGAGTTCAGGGAGCTTACCACTGGGTTGGGGTGAGGGCGCAGTGAGAGAGGTGAGGATGAAGAATCTATCTAGATTTTCATACCTATACTTCTGCCTGTAGAGTCTGTGGATAGTAGACTGAACTGGCTTAACTCCTTCCATGTTCTGGGGTTCCTATGTCCATGAATGAAGCCAAAACCCCATCTAGCAAAACAAAGCTGTGTTTCCTTGGGACAGAATGAAACTACGCCTGAGAAGAGCTCCCTGCGGGTATTGTCCAGGGAAGAACAACAGCAAGGAATGGCAGGAGGCTGCTTGCTCCATCCCTTTCTGGTGTGTACTGTGTGGGTGCTCCTGGGGTATTGCTTTATCAGTCCGGGGAGCAGTTTCTAAGTCACTCCGCACGCCACTGTGCTCCTGAGCAATACTTTTACCAGCAGCAGATTGAGGCTGGAATCTGCCTCTTCCCCCTTTGCCGCTTCTCACTTTCCTTGGGCTTCATCAGCCTGCCTGTAAGTTAGGATGAGGGAGTGGTTCTTGACTGGATGAGGGGTGTTTCTTGGCTGTCCCCAGGCTTTATCAGCTTTGGCAAGTGTTTCTTGGTGTCCAGGGTGTAACTGGCCCTGTAATTTTCTTTAAGTATCACCTTCCCTGCCCTAATATACTAATATAACAGTCTTCTCCTCCGGACCCCTGTTCTGCCCTTCCTCATAGACTACAGAGATTCACCTCTTCCTCACCCCTCAGTGGTGGCCCTCCTGGACCCCTCCCCTCCCCCATCAATGTAAACTGGCCTGGCTGTGTAGTGGGGTCCAATCCTCCCAGGTACCCTTCTTTTATGGGCCCTCTTGTTACTGTGTGATTTTATACCTTGAGCCTGGAAGTATTCTTACTGTTAGTCACTACTGAAAACCAGGTATAGGAAAATTATGGTAAACAGTCACAGAAGAGGCAGGAAAGTTCCAAATCATCAAAGCTTATTGTGGTCAGGTATGGGGGTGGGGCAGCTCCTTGAAGCCAGTTTCCTTTGTGACTTTGCCTGGGGCTGCTGCCCTTTTGTGCTGGTTCACAAACTACCCTTAAAAAAGACAATGCCTTAATTTGCATTTCCCTGATGATAAGGGATGTGGAATATATTTTCATATGCCTGTTAACCATTTGCATTTCCTCTTTGGAGAAATAAATGTATTTTAAGTTCTGCCCATTTCTTGACTGGATTGTTAATTTTGTTTTTGTTTTCATTCATTCATTCATTCATTCATTCATTCATTCATTTATACAAGCACTGGGTACAGTCAGAAGCGTGGGAGGGTGAGAGAATTCACCAGAGACAGAGCGGGGAACAGAACAGGCAGACTGACGAAGTACACTGCTGAGGGGAGCAGCGGGCGGCTGGAGAGGTCTGCACGCCATGTGGGACCCCCATAAGGCAGCCAGGGATCGAACCGGTGCTGCAGAGGCTGCGAGCAGCCTCG